ATACTGCAGGAATTGTTTCCTTTCTATATTTCCCCTTCCTCTTTTTCCATCTTAGAACATAGACCTGATAGCTGACATTCCAGCAGACATCTTGTGACCACAACTATCCTTGAGAAAGGAAGCTGCATGCTAAGGATGATGGTAAAGATTAACAGTCACTGAGACCTTACCATACCATTCAGGCTACCCATCAGGATTTCTGTTACAAGAGAATACAAAACCCTAATTTGTTTAAGCCAAGGTACTCTGGTCTCTGCTGGCAGTCAGAATCAATTCCTAAATGACATAGGAAACATCAGGAGCTCCAAAAGACTCACATGGTATCACGCCCAACATATGATAACCCACTAGCTGCTTCGCAGAAGGAAGATGGAGCAATCTACTTCCATAAAGATTTACCACCTCGGAAACCCAATGGGGGTCGTTATGAGTCAGAATTGACTCCATGGCAGTGAGTTTGGTCACCATCCACCTAAAACCAAGCATTAATGAGGTGATCTTCTTCCCCTTATTTCAAAACTTGCAAAACCTCCTCACCTCCCCGCCCCCCCTCACATGCTTCCTCTTAGTTTGGCCTTCTTTTTATATAGACATATGGATCTCCCTTGCCTCTCATCCTAGGGTCTGCTCCTACAGGTATTCAAAACCCTGTACTGTCAACAGGGCTGACACAATAATGTAGTTAGATAAACACCTTCTACCAGACCTTACAAACTAAGGATTTGAGCAGGGGTCAGCCTCACTCATGGCCAATGGAGGTTCTGCCCATGAATTTAGCACTCATAAGAAATCCTATACTTCACTGGGAAGAAAAGGCCTTCATATGTGTTGGTTGCCTAATGAAGTCTATGATAAGAGCGATGGCTTTAAATAAAGTGACCCTACTCTGGTTCCATTAATGGGCAGGCTTTACTATTGAAGCACAGTGCTAATTAAGCACTTTATGAGCCAAAGCAGGACTGGCATAAATGGATCAAAATGCTGAAACTACCCTCTGGCAAATCAAAAGAACTTGGTGTCCCCATTAAACCTAATAAGGGGGGATGGGGTGGGCAGGGAGAGGAGAAAAAGGAGGAGAAGAAGAAGGAGAATATTCATCTGGAGAAAATGTTTCCAAATGGAATATAACTCCTAAACCCTATACTTTCTAAGAAATATTAGTGCTTATGGTCTTGATTATATTTTTAAACCTTATTATCAAATGAAGCACTAAATTGGAAAACTGCATTGCACCAGCTGATTGAAATCAAGTCTCAGTGTCATGATTTCAACCATCTCAGTCTCATGATTTCAACCATTTATTTCCTTTCTTACCCTGTGTATCAGATATATTAGGTCTGGCATGGTCTAACTTGGTTTCCAAACATTTTTACATCACTGGAACTTTGGCATTCACCCTCTTGTGAATTTTTGCCCATTCCCCTTGTTCAACAATCAAATATCTGAACTGGCAAAACTACCCACTATCATCAAGTCAATTCTGACTCATAGTGACTCTTTGGTTTTCTTTTTTTTAAAAATTTACTTTTCTTGTGGTGAAAACATACACACCAAGACATTCACCAACATAACAACTTCCACATCTACAGTCACACTGCCTCACAGGGTTTCCAAGGTTGTAAATCTTTATAGAAGCAGACTGCCTCATCTTTCTCCCATGGAGCAGTTGTTAGTTTCAAACAGCCAGCCTTTTGGTTAACAGCCCAATGCTTTAACCACAGCTCTACCAGCACTCCCTGAATTGGCAAAGTGATTGGTTTTTACCTTAAATGATTCCAAGTGCCTGACCCTGTGCTCCATTCTCCATGTTATCTTGTCAGTAATGAAACTCCACGTAGGGAAGAGATTATTAGATATATGTTAGGCCTTTCTCTCTATCCTTGTGGAACTTACTCTCCAGCTGAAAAGGACAGCAATGAATGCAAGGAGAAGAAAATGCTGGGTCTGAGTGCATGACAAGAGCTCCATGAGGAGTTAGGAAGGGAAAAAGATCAGAATAAACCAGGTTTGTAAGGAAAAGCTTCATGCATGCATGAAATGAGGAACTGGAGATAGTTCTTGAAGGACAGAAGAGACGAGTGGGTTAAGAGAAACAGAGTACTTCTAATATTGTCACATATTTCCACTATCAGTCTCAGGCCTTCTCCAACTCCAACTCCTAAGACTGAATATTTATAAATCATTTCATTCACCATTGCAAACATCTTCCTGTCATCACCAGTCAGGTAAAGTAGTTTTCATTCTATTTCAAAAATTATTTCTGACACCTTAGAAGTCTATTTCTCAATTGACTTTAGAAATTATATTTCAACTCCCTTGTTACACAAACTAAGAAAATAGGTACTATGATTATGTGACATGTTCAAGGTGACACAGCAAGTTGGGGACAAAATGAAAACTAGAATTCAGGTCTCCTGATTCCTATTTCAGATTCTTTCTGTTCATAGTGAAATATTAGGCACCTCGCTCTCCTGGGCCTCCAAATATCAGGCATATCTCTTGAGTCTGAATATCCTAAACAGTAGGCCACCTTCAGAAATGGAGTCTACTCATCCTGCAGAGCTGAGTAAGAGGGTATGAGTTCATTGTCCAAGATAACCTGTCCTGCTCATGGGAAAATGGTACAACACAGAGTATACATGCTTTACTCCATAGCTGTCCCACGATAGTGGCACGGTGATGTGTGTCCTATGTTTTCCAAACAAGGGTCAGCAGCCCACCACTACTGTGCCATCTTAAGGCACTTTCCTTGATCCACCCCCTGCCATAACCACTGGTTCACCCCTAACATGATCACTGATAAAGTCAATATTCATTGCGTTGTCACCCAGACTCCCCTTTCAGGAATCAGGAATCAGCCTTGCACAAACTCTGTCTCTTTCCACAGCAGAAGGAAATGTCTGGCGACTTGGCATTCCACCATAGCATGCCAGCTGCTTCTAAAGGTGTTCTTTCACATAGAACTACAATATTCATTAAACCACTTCACTCTAAGGCTGATGTCAAAATCACAGTGTTTAGTCATGCCTATCTTTATTTTCCCTTTCCCTTTTTTACCTTAACTATTTTCATACATTTATTGTACTTTCTTCAAAGCACTATCTTTTGCCTGAAATGTCCTGCAGAGAACCCGTAACTTCTTTCTGTATCCAGCTTTGTGAAAACAAAAAATGCATGAACCTAGGCAACAAGTTTGATAACCGACCACCAGCACCTCTGGGAGGAGTGACAAGTGAGTCTAAGCCTACCTTCGGTAAGAATTAGGACTTTCCAGAAAGTTTTTATTACTGGAATCCTTGAGTTAATTAAATCAGGAAGGATTGCTTTTCCAAGAAACCAGTTACACAGTGAAAAGAAGCAAGGACTCAGGAATCAAAGAGATGTGAGTTTGATGCTGGCTCTGCCACTTACTTTGTAAACTCTGGCAAGTATTTAACCTCAGGGCCTCAGTTTGTCATTTGTAAAATGGGAATAATAACATCTTCAAGAAGTAATGGGTTAAAAATCACTAGTGGAATCCCTGGGTCAGAATAAATGCTTACAAAAAGCTCTCTAGACATAGGCATTTCAGAAGAAAGGGAATTTCTGTGCTTTTCACTTAACCATATGAAAAGGCAGATTATTGTATTTAACTTAAAAACTACATTCATTACATGCAATGTACACATCTTGAATATTCTTGTGTCCAATAGCTGCTCACACCAACCATTTCCTACCGAGCTCTCTCCAAGGACAGCAGAGCTCCATTTTTAGGGAAGGTTACTGGCAGTTAGGGTAGCCTTTCAAGCCCATGTGTATTTGTCATGGTAAAGACTACAACCACCAATGGTTAGCAAACATAGGATTGAAAGGGTCAAGCAAGAGCTTTCTTTAGGACATTAAATTTCCTGGTTCAAAACAAAGTTCAGAGAAAAGTCCTTCTTGGCAGGCTGGCAGGCATGAGCACTATCCCTCAGTAGGAAGTGACACATGACTATGATATCTTTGTGTTACTGGAGATGTGAGAAAACCTGAAAGCCATCTATCCAAGCCAAGTGAATCTTTGGTCTTTCCTCTAGAGCAGAGGGATCTGGCTCTTGAAGTCTTATTGGCAAATTCTGTTCTCTTCCTGACTCTTAGCAACTAACCTCATCTTTAGGAAATGGAATTTGGGTGTTAAATGCAATGAGCTGGCCTAGCAGAAAAGAGGCATACATCCAAACATCCTTCAGTGGTTGCCAAAACATCTCAAAAAAATGTCCTAAGAACCATAAAGTTAAAAATATGCACAAAAGCTTCTGGAACCAGGAATGACTTCCTTTACAAGGAACAAATAAGACATTTAAGACATCAGATCCTAGAGAGATGAATAATGACTCTTCTGGAGGGAAAAAAATAAAATCAAGGGTATAAAACATTTCCGTATAGCCTCACTCAACTCTGCCATGGACTCTAGGAATGGGATATTGCCCTCAGCATGAATGAGGCAGAGCTTGAAAAACCCTTCAACAGTGAAATTGCCATTGCTAAGAACATTCAAAGAAATTCTCAAAATACTAGCCGAATCTAGTGTACCTTCTTCCTGTTTTAAGTATTACAAGACAAAAAACACTACCCATACCATGCTTATCTCTAATTATGACATTCCTTTGTGTGTTTAAATCAGTAAAGAATTCTCGAAATTTTTCAGGTTTTCATCTTAAATATTAGAATTTAAAAAAAAAAAAGCAAAGCCCAGAATTCCCTGTAAGTTACTAGTTGCACCTAGTGAAAATTTTCATTTTATAAAGTAAACCGTTATCTAAAATACCTGATTGTGTACAATGAGTAGATGGAACTAAAAACTTTTCTCCCACATTATAGATTCAGCCACACTAGGGCTCTCCAAGCAAAAGCAAATCCCCTCTTGTTGGTCTAGATCAACTCATACCCACTATAACCATCCACAGAGTACAACCTTCCCCATGCAGTGTCAAAAGTAGCCTAACCCAGGAGTCTGTGGGGACCCAAAAGTCACTCACTTGTCTTCTGTGAAACTTTTCCCAGTAATAACGTTCTTCCCCTGGGGTACATAGTTCCAATATTCTTCCACAATCCCAATGTGGTATGTTCTGGTAACTGTGCCAACCAGCCCAGACAGACCCAGGAATGTGAGGAGAAAGATGCAGCCAGCCTGCTGCTCCGGAGGCATTTGTGGATGTAACTCAATAGTAGCCTGTGGAGGAGACAACCTTGCCTGTCCCTCCCCCTCACTCAGAGTTAGTTATAAATAAGGAATGGACAAGGCCAAGCCCCTCCTCCTCCTAGGTAGCTTGGGTTGGGACAGAGACTGACAACTTGTGTAAGCAGAGCAAGCTCAGTGGAGGAGTTGCTATGATGACAGACTTCTTCCAATCACCCAAGAAATGTGGCTTGTTTATTTACTACCCAAGCTAAAAAGGCCTATTTCTGTAAATTTGAGTACTCTGCTGTGATATTAGTCATTCCTCTTTGCAAGGACATCAGTGTAACTACTTGGGCTGATGGGTTTTCCCCCTTCTTCCTGTCTTTTTCTCCATACCTATTACAGGAACATATTAAAATTTGGAAACTGGACTGGCCTGAATAGAGCATCAGGAAATATCCCAAGCATTGAGGAAAGCTTCATCTCTTCCAGCAGGCCAGGAGAGTGATGCAATCACCACTCTGCCATCTCCAACTTGTTTTATGAGGCTACATGAAACAATCAACTCACATCGTAAAGTTTGTAACCATATTATAAAGCCCCACTAATTCCCCATTTGTGCATGCACCATGTCCCCCAAATTCTCTCCATTAAATGCCACCAGAAAAAAGGAAGAAGTGATTGATTGCCCAGTTTAGACAAAATTTTAGAGGCCACCACCCCACTTACTATCCCCCTAAGAGCTGCCTTTCTCAGGATGAATGAAAATGGTAAGGGAAGAGTATGCTTCAGGGCTGTGAAGATAAAATTCAGTAGCAGGTGTTTAGGTCTAAAAGGTGAAGGGAGTGTCCTTTCTTCTGTGTGCTTGAATCTGTGACCTAGAATCTCAGTGTTGAAAGAGACTTGGTCCAATCCTGGAGGACAGCCAATCTGATCCCCATGCAGAGTTGCTCTTGAGGAAGCTACAGAATGAAGGAAACAGCCTCCTGGGCTTTGAGGTTGGCCAGACCTGGGTTTGAACCCGAGTGCCACAGCTTAATGACTTAGTGGTAATGAGGAGTCCGAACCTCTCTGAGTCTCTGTGTGTAAAACAGGAATGGAGGGATTGTCAAAAGGATTAAAAAAGATAATGTCTGCAAATGCCTACCACACCCAGAACAGAGTAGGTACTCAGTAAGCATCAAAGTCCTTCTACCTCAACCACACCTTCTAGGAGAGACTCCATATCAGCCTGTATGTTAACAGACTTGCATTTTCACCAGTATCCTGCCTTCTTTTCACTACTCACTCTTTCCCAAAGGCTTGTGTACCATGCCTACCACCACACTCAAGTAAGAGAGTTCTTCCTCTTTAAATTGTAGATAATCCATAGATGTGCCACAGACTGAGTTTTGATTTAATATCCATCTCAATTTATAAAATACCTGCTGAGTATCCTGCTTCACAGCAAACCTCCTAACATCTTTGATTTACTGATTTTTTTTTCTAATGTCAAAGACTCCTGTAGAATAATTGCCATAGTACAGGTTCCTGTGCATCATATCTACTCTTCAGTATGTATTTGAAAGCTTGTATGGGTCTGACAACAACTGCTGTTGGGGAGAGACTCACAAGGTCAACTTAGGAGCATAGCTTCAAAAGAAGTAGGGCTTTAGGAGTTCTTAGAATTTGAAAATGTCCTGTATCAAATAGCTATGAGGAACTCTGATGGCACAGTGGTTAGAACATTCAGCTGCTAACCAAAAGGTCAACATTTCAAATCCACCAGGCCTTCCATGGGAGAAAGATAGGGCAGTCTGCTTCCACAGAGATTTTCAGCCTTGGGAATCCCATGGGACAGTTTTACTCTGTCCTATAGGGTTTCTGTTGGCATAGTGCCTAAGGCATTTGACTGCTAACTCCTCAGAAGGAAGATTGGGCAATCCATTTCCATAGAGATACTACTGCCTCAGAAAACCAAAGAGGGGTCGCTATGAGTCAGAAACAACTCAACGGCAATGAGTTTGGTTTTTGGTTATAGGGTCTCTGTAAGTTGGAATTGACTTGATGGCAGTGGGTAAATACCTTTTTGTTTATACCCCGAGATGCAGGATGTTTTGGACCTAACAAACTTGATATGGTATCAAAAATTTCCACCTGAAATTTTTTAGAGCAGAGAAAGAAAAGGCATAAATGATACAGACCAAAAACACAAGAGTTAACTTTCTTATCTAGGAAACTGACTTCACACAATGAAATCTCTGGAAAAGGCAACACCTAATTTCTGATTCAAAACTAGTTCTCCAGGATGATAGAGCAGGTCAAGAGCACCAGGGGAAATGCAGCAGACAAGTTCAATCAATACATTTGATCCATTCATGCCAGAGAACTTGGGCACTGAGGGGCAAAAGATTCTGGGATATAGTTTACTAAAAACAATAAAATAGGGTTCCTGAAAAATTCTCTTCAGTTCTTCCTTACTCTAAGGCAATAAAGCAGCTACTCAAAAAGCATCTGAATTCCTTAAGAGCTAAAGAAAATAAAAGGAACTGATAAAAGTGAATGGAGTTCAGGGGGAGAGCAATAAATAGGTGGAGCACAGGATATTTTAAACACAGTGAAACTACCATGCATGATGCTCTAATTGTGGATACATGACATCATGCATTTCTCAAACCTCATAAAACTGTACAACACGAAGTGTGAACTCTAATGTAAACCGTGGCCTTTAGTTAAGAATCATGTACCAATATTGATTCATCAGTTATACCAAATGTACCACACTAATGTGTGATGTTAACAATAAGGGGGAAAAGGAGTATATGGAAACTCCCTGTACTTCCTGCACAATTTTACTGTAAATTTAAAACTGCTCTAAAAAAAACTAGTGCATACAAAAAATAAATAGTGTTCCTATAACATTCTTTTCTGAAAACCCACAGTTAAATACAAAAGGTGATTGACAAAGTCTAGAATTTGATAAGGAAATCTATGAATAATAATGTTAATAAAGACTTTCAACTCATTTTGACACTATTCAGACATAAATAAAGTAGAGAAACTCCAAATTTAACAAGTACCTACTATGTGAAATGCACTGGCCTAGAGACTCACTCCATTATTCTGCACACAATTTCCAGGCTTGGAGGTATGGTAAAGTCAGTATTATGCATTGATAGAAGAGAAAAAATTATGCTGTATCAAATAATATTTCTACAAAATACTGTACAGCATATTCAAATACTAAAACTTTCAGCGAAAAAAAGCCAATTTATATAAATAATATTTTAGCTGACCTTTGGTGAGGTGTTGTTTTAAATAATAAACAAAATGTGAGTGACAAAATTGGCTATATCAATCTTTGTGTATTTTTTGAGATATACATTAAATACTCTTTAAAGACTCTCCATATCCCCAAACCGGACTCCCATCAGCCCAGCCCGCTTACTTGCCCTGGTTCAGTAGATCACAACTCTCCAATCTCATTGTGTTGCTCAGTCCTCTGACTGTACTTAATACCTTCTCATCTGGAGCCTAATCTTCCTAACTGCCCTCACTGTTGCCAGTGAGATCTTCCCGTTTGGGGAAGACAGGCAGGATCAGACCTCTCCACTGCTTGAGATCCTCCAGTGGCTCCCCGTGGCCTTCAGAATAAGAACTGATGACCTTGACTTGACTTTTACGGCTGGCCCTGAGCTGGCTCCTGGGGATTGGGAACCTCTCCTTAACTTTCAGTCCACACCCTGGTCATCATTGTCAAGCCAGCTACCCTGCCCTTCATCTGTGTGCCATTCAGCACTTATCACCTGGCCCAGTTATCACCTGTCTATTTGTTTGCCCTCCCACACAAACCTTCAACATAAGCTTTCTATGGGCAAGGACAGGGCCTTGTTCGTCCCAGTGACCTAGTGTCTGACACATTATTATTTATTAATAATGTTGTTGTTGTTGTTGTTGTTATGTGCCATCAAGTCAGACCCAACTCACAGCGAACCCCCCGTGGGTTTCTGAGGTGGTATCACTACTGGAAGTAGATTGCCCAACCTTCCTTCCAAGAAGTGGCTGGTGAGTTTGAACCTCCAGCCTTCTGGTTAGCAGTCAAGTGCCTTAGTCACTACACTAACAGAGCTCCTATATTATTAAATGGTGAACCAATGCACAAGTGAATGGATGAATATGTATATGTACCAAGTGCATGTTTTGTAGCAGTTTTTGTCCTAAACCCTTTGCATGCACTCTCTCATTTAATTATTATAATAACCCTATCACTTGAGGAAACTGAGGTGTTGTGTGCCTCAATGACACATAGCTGGTAAGCTGTGGAGTTTTGTGAGAGTCCAAAACTGGTGTTTATATCCAGCCCATCCAGAACAAGGAAAAGGGGGGTACCAGAGACTGTGTCTGCTTCACACTAACAAGTGGGGCCCACTCTCTTTTAAGAAATATGGGCCAGGGATGCTCAAGGTAGCCTTGCCTGCATTGGCATATGATCCCAAGATGTCCCTTCGAGTCTAGCATATGCACTCTTTCAGCCAAAGAACCCTAATCATAATGGGGCCTTGAGAACACCCAAACATATCATTCCACTCCATTCCTCCATTTCATGGCCTGACCCTCCACCTGTCCCCTCCCCCACTAGGTTCCTTCTCAACCTCCCACATCCTCCTGGCTTGATCTCCTATCTGGAGCCTTCCTTGGTTCTTCCCACACCCACCACACCCTCTCTTCCATCTTGAAGCAGAGTTCATCACTCCCTCTTCTTTGCTTCCTCTGTACTTTTACATTGTACATTGCATATTGCTGTGGCCTTACACATCAGCCTCCCTTACTAAATTGTAAACTCCTTGAGAACAGTATCTGACCAGCTGCCAAGACCTCCCTCCCCACAATGCTTCAGGATCCAAGCCTTTATTAAAAGAATCTGTGCTCAGAAACCTCTCCCACCACCACTTCTCTTACCCCTAGTTCCCCAGTTTCTGGACTCTTGATTTTACTGAGTGCCCCTGAGTCCCCTGCTCAGACTCTTTGGACTGACCACTGACCTGGGT